CAACAACCTCAGCAATATTAGGATCACCGCCAACAACATTAACACCAACAATAGGACCAACAACCTCAGCAATATTAGGATCACCGCCAACAACAACAACAATAGGACCAACTACGACAACAATATTAGGATCCCCATCACCTACAACAACAGTACGGCCAGCATCTATGTTATCATCAACAACAACAAAAGAACAGAATTCATCAACCATATTAGGATCACCAATACCACCAACAACAATAATAGGACCAACAACATCTATAATATCATCAACAGCAACAACACCAATATCACCAATGATAATAGGATCATCAACACCTACATCACCTACAATAATAGAATCCCCAACAACACCAATATCACCAACAATAATAGGATCACCAACACCAACATCACCAACAATAATAGGATCACCGACATCAACATCACCAACAATAATAGGATCACCGACACCAATATCACCAACAATAATAGAATCCCCAACAACACCAATATCACCAACAATAATAGGATCACCAACACCAACATCACCAACAATAATAGGATCACCGACACCAACATCACCAACAATAATAGGATCACCGACACCAATATCACCAACAATAATAGGATCACCGACACCAACACCAAATGCAACAGGATCAACAACATCAACAACAAAAGGATCACCACCAACATCACCATCAATAATGATAGGAACAACAGCATCAACAATAATAGGACCACCATCATTAACAACAACATCCACAGGATCAACGACCTCAACGATAATAGGGTCGCCATCACCACTAACAACAACAGAACCAATAAAATCAACAATAATAGAACAAACAACATCAACATTAATAATATCGCCATCAACAACAACAATAGCAACAAGATCAAATACAATAGCACTAACAAGAGCAACTGGAGCACCAACGACAACAAAAAGTATACGTAAGTAAATAGCGCCATTTCTGATTTCAAAAAAATGGACGTTCGCCAATCTGTTAGATTTTTTTTTAAATTGCTCTTCGGAAATGTATATTAATCAATTCAATAAATCAATATCAGCAATTCCATATTTCGTGCATTAAATAAATTATTAGTTCATCCGCCCTCTATAAGATATGAAGTGTTTTATTTTTGTTTTTAGATAAGGGATATCCGGAACACACCCTTTGTAATGGACTGTGTCTCAGGAATATCTGGAACACACCCTTAGTAATGGACTGTGTCTCAGGAATATCTG